ATCCCACCTTGGGGTACTTGAGGGGTACTTGAGGGGCTTGTGGTATCCCACCTTGGGGTACTTGAGGGGTAGGTGGGGCTTGTGGTATCCCACCTTGGGGTACTTGAGGGGTACTTGAGGGGTAGGTGGGGCTTGTGGTATCCCACCTTGGGGTACTTGAGGGGCCTGTGGTATCCGACCTTGGGGTACTTGAGGGGTAGGTGGGGCTTGTGGTATCCCACCTTGGGGTACTTGAGGGGTAGGTGGGGCCTGTGGTATCCCACCTCGGGGTACTTGAGGGGTAGGTGCGGCCTATGGTATCCCACCTTGGGGTACTTGAGGGGTACTTGAGGGGCTTGTGGTATCCCACCTTGGGGTACTTGAGGGGTAGGTGGGGCTTGTGGTATCCCACCTTGGGGTACTTGAGGGGTAATTGAGGGGCTTGTGGTATCCCACCTTGGGGTACTTGAGGGGTATGTTGGGCCTGTGGTATCACACCTTGGGGTACTTGAGGGGCTTGTGGTATCCCACCTTGGGGTACTTAAGGGGTAGGTGGGGCCTGTGGTATCCCGCCTTGGGGTACTTGAGGGGTAGGTGGGGCCTGTGGTATCCCACCTTGGGGTACTTGAGGGGTAGGTGGGGCCTGTGGTATCCCACCTTGGGGTACTTGAGGGGTAGGTGGGGCCTGTGGTATCCCACCTTGGGGTACTTGAGGGGTAGGTGGGGCCTGTGGTATCACACCTTGGGGTACTTGAGGGGCTTGTGGTATCCCACCTTGGGGTACTTGAGGGGTAGGTGGGGCTTGTGGTATCCCACCTTGGGGTACTTGAGGGGTAGGTGGGGCTTGTGGTATCCCACCTTGGGTACTTGAGGGGTAGGTGGGGCTTGTGGTATCCCACCTTGGGGTACTTGAGGGGTAGGTGGGGCTTGTGGTATCCCACCTTGGGGTACTTGAGGGGTACGTGGGGCTTGTGGTATCCCACCTTGGGGTACTTGAGGGGTACGTGGGGCTTGTGGTATCCCACCTTGGGGTACTTGAGGGGTACTTGAGGGGCTTGTGGTATCCCACCTTGGGGTACTTGAGGGGTAGGTGGGGCTTGTGGTATCCCACCTTGGGGTACTTGAGGGGTACGTCGAGCTTGTGGTATCCCACCTTGGGGTACTTGAGGGGTACGTGGGGCTTGTGGTATCCCACCTTGGGGTACTTGAGGGGTACGTGGGGCTTGTGGTATCCCACCTTGGGGTACTTGAGGGGTAGGTGGGGCTTGTGGTATCCCACCTTGGGGTACTTGAGGGGTAGGTGGGGCTTGTGGTATCCCACCTTGGGGTACTTGAGGGGTACGTGGGGCTTGTGGTATCCCACCTTGGGGTACTTGAGGGGTACGTGGGGCTTGTGGTATCCCACCTTGGGGTACTTGAGGGGTAGGTGGGGCTTGTGGTATCCCACCTTGGGGTACTTGAGGGGTACGTGGGGCTTGTGGTATCACACCTTGGGGTACTTGAGGGGTAGGTGGGGCTTGTGGTATCCCACCTTGGGGTACTTGAGGGGTACGTGGGGCTTGTGGTATCCCACCTTGGGGTACTTGAGGGGTACGTGGGGCTTGTGGTATCCCACCTTGGGGTACTTGAGGGGTACGTGGGGCTTGTGGTATCCCACCTTGGGGTACTTGAGGGGTACGTGGGGCTTGTGGTATCCCACCTTGGGGTACTTGAGGGGTACGTGGGGCTTGTGGTATCCCACCTTGGGGTACTTGAGGGGTAGGTGGGGCTTGTGGTATCCCACCTTGGGGTACTTGAGGGGTAGGTGGGGCTTGTGGTATCCCACCTTGGGGTACTTGAGGGGTAGGTGGGGCTTGTGGTATCCCACCTTGGGGTACTTGAGGGGTAGGTGGGGCTTGTGGTATCCCACCTTGGGGTACTTGAGGGGCCTGTGGTATCCCACCTTGGGGTACTTGAGGGGTACTTGAGGGGCTTGTGGTATCCCACCTCGGGGTACTTGAGGGGTAGGTGGGGCTTGTGGTATCCCACCTCGGGGTACTTGAGGGGTACGTGGGGCTTGTGGTATCCCACCTTGGGGTACTTGAGGGGTAGGTGGGGCTTGTGGTATCCCACCTTGGGGTACTTGAGGGGTAGGTGGGGCTTGTGGTATCCCACCTTGGGGTACTTGAGGGGTACGTGGGGCTTGTGGTATCCCACCTTGGGGTACTTGAGGGGTACGTGGGGCTTGTGGTATCCCACCTTGGGGTACTTGAGGGGTACTTGAGGGGCTTGTGGTATCCCACCTTGGGGTACTTGAGGGGTAGGTGGGGCTTGTGGTATCCCACCTTGGGGTACTTGAGGGGTACGTCGGGCTTGTGGTATCCCACCTTGGGGTACTTGAGGGGTACGTGGGGCTTGTGGTATCCCACCTTGGGGTACTTGATGGGTACGTGGGGCTTGTGGTATCCCACCTTGGGGTACTTGAGGGGTAGGTGGGGCTTGTGGTATCCCACCTTGGGGTACTTGAGGGGTAGGTGGGGCTTGTGGTATCCCACCTTGGGGTACTTGAGGGGTAGGTGGGGCTTGTGGTATCCCACCTTGGGGTACTTGAGGGGTAGGTGGGGCTTGTGGTATCCCACCTTGGGGTACTTGAGGGGCCTGTGGTATCCCACCTTGGGGTACTTGAGGGGTACTTGAGGGGCTTGTGGTATCCCACCTTGGGGTACTTGAGGGGTAGGTGGGGCTTGTGGTATCCCACCTCGGGGTACTTGAGGGGTACGTGGGGCTTGTGGTATCCCACCTTGGGGTACTTGAGGGGTAGGTGGGGCTTGTGGTATCCCACCTTGGGGTACTTGAGGGGTAGGTGGGGCTTGTGGTATCCCACCTTGGGGTACTTGAGGGGTACGTGGGGCTTGTGGTATCCCACCTTGGGGTACTTGAGGGGTACGTGGGGCTTGTGGTATCCCACCTTGGGGTACTTGAGGGGTACTTGAGGGGCTTGTGGTATCCCACCTTGGGGTACTTGAGGGGTAGGTGGGGCTTGTGGTATCCCACCTTGGGGTACTTGAGGGGTACGTCGGGCTTGTGGTATCCCACCTTGGGGTACTTGAGGGGTACGTGGGGCTTGTGGTATCCCACCTTGGGGTACTTGAGGGGTACGTGGGGCTTGTGGTATCCCACCTTGGGGTACTTGAGGGGTAGGTGGGGCTTGTGGTATCCCACCTTGGGGTACTTGAGGGGTAGGTGGGGCTTGTGGTATCCCACCTTGGGGTACTTGAGGGGTAGGTAGGGCTTGTGGTATCCCACCTTGGGGTACTTGAGGGGTACGTGGGGCTTGTGGTATCCCACCTTGGGGTACTTGAGGGGTACGTGGGGCTTGTGGTATCCCACCTTGGGGTACTTGAGGGGTACTTGAGGGGCTTGTGGTATCCCACCTTGGGGTACTTGAGGGGTAGGTGGGGCTTGTGGTATCCCACCTTGGGGTACTTGAGGGGTACGTCGGGCTTGTGGTATCCCACCTTGGGGTACTTGAGGGGTACGTGGGGCTTGTGGTATCCCACCTTGGGGTACTTGAGGGGTACGTGGGGCTTGTGGTATCCCACCTTGGGGTACTTGAGGGGTAGGTGGGGCTTGTGGTATCCCACCTTGGGGTACTTGAGGGGTAGGTGGGGCTTGTGGTATCCCACCTTGGGGTACTTGAGGGGTACGTGGGGCTTGTGGTATCCCACCTTGGGGTACTTGAGGGGTACGTGGGGCTTGTGGTATCCCACCTTGGGGTACTTGAGGGGTACTTGAGGGGCTTGTGGTATCCCACCTTGGGGTACTTGAGGGGTAGGTGGGGCTTGTGGTATCCCACCTTGGGGTACTTGTGGGGTACGTCGGGCTTGTGGTATCCCACCTTGGGGTACTTGAGGGGTACGTGGGGCTTGTGGTATCCCACCTTGGGGTACTTGAGGGGTAGGTGGGGCTTGTGGTATCCCACCTTGGGGTACTTGAGGGGTACGTGGGGCTTGTGGTATCCCACCTCGGGGTACTTGAGGGGTACGTGGGGCTTGTGGTATCCCACCTTGGGGTACTTGAGGGGTAGGTGGGGCTTGTGGTATCCCACCTCGGGGTACTTGAGGGGTACGTGGGGCTTGTGGTATCCCACCTTGGGGTACTTGAGGGGTACTTGAGGGGCTTGTGGTATCCCACCTTGGGGTACTTGAGGGGTACGTGGGGCTTGTGGTATCCCACCTTGGGGTACTTGAGGGGTAGGTGCGGCTTGTGGTATCCCACCTTGGGGTACTTGAGGGGTACGTGGGGCTTGTGGTATCCCACCTTGGGGTACTTGAGGGGTAGGTTGGGCTTGTGGTATCCCACCTCGGGGTACTTGAGGGGTACGTGGGGCCTGTGGTATCCCACCTTGGGGTACTTGAGGGGTAGGTGGGGCCTGTGGTATCCCACCTTGGGGTACTTGAGTGGTAGGTGCGGCTTGTGGTATCCCACCTTGGGGTACTTGAGGGGTAGGTGGGGCTTGTGGTATCCCACCTTGGGGTACTTGAGGGGTAGGTGGGGCTTGTGGTATCCCACCTTGGGGTACTTGAGGGGTACTTGAGGGGCTTGTGGTATCCCACCTTGGGGTACTTGAGGGGTACTTGAGGGGCTTGTGGTATCCCACCTTGGGGTACTTGAGGGGTAGGTGGGGCTTGTGGTATCCCACCTTGGGGTACTTGAGGGGTACGTGGGGCCTGTGGTATCCCACCTTGGGGTACTTGAGGGGTACGTGGGGCTTGTGGTATCCCACCTTGGGGTACTTGAGGGGTACTTGAGGGGCTTGTGGTATCCCACCTTGGGGTACTTGAGGGGTACTTGAGGGGCTTGTGGTATCCCACCTTGGGGTACTTGAGGGGTAGGTGGGGCTTGTGGTATCCCACCTTGGGGTACTTGAGGGGTACGTGGGGCCTGTGGTATCCCACCTTGGGGTACTTGAGGGGTACGTGGGGCTTGTGGTATCCCACCTTGGGGTACTTGAGGGGTACGTGGGGCTTGTGGTATCACACCTTGGGGTACTTGAGGGGTACGTGGGGCTTGTGGTATCCCACCGCCAGCATGAACGGCTGAGCAGGCCGCGATGCGAACTTGGTCAGGAGGCGTGCGGCCTCAGTGGTGGTCTCCATGTCAGGCAGCGTGCCGCCGGGCATGGAGGCCACGTCCACGGGGCACACCAAATCAGCCTGCGGGGGGCCCCCCTCAGGGCCCACGCACACCTGGGGGGGGGGGCACGGGGGGGGGGGCACGGGGGAGCGGGGGATGGGATGACTGGGAGCACGCCCACCGGCAAACCTCCACCCACCTACACCTCCTCCTCTCCCCCCACTACCTCCTCTCCCCCCACCACCTCCTCCTCTCCCCCCACCACCTCCTCCTCTCCCCCCACCTCACCCCCCACCTCTCCCCCCACCACCTCCTCCCCCCACCACGTGGCCCAGCTGCAGCAGCCAGCCATCACCTTGGCATCTTTGTACTGCTGGGTGGGAGGGTGGTAGGCGGGGATGGACCAGCTGTAGGGGAAGTCGTCCGTGAAGTTCGACACGATGCCTGGGTGGGGATGGGGTGGGGACCACAACAACAACAACACAACAACAACACCGTCACGTCGTCGCCACGGTGACCACAACAACAACGTCGTCGCCACGGTGACCACAACAACAACACCGTCACGTCGTCGCCACGGTGACCACAACAACAACAACAACACTGTCATGTCGTCGCCACGGTGACCACAACAACAACGTCGTCGCCACGGTGACCACAACAACAACAACACCGTCATGTCGTCGCCACGGTGACCACAACAACAACAACAACACCGTCACGTCGTCGCCACGGTGACCACAACAACACAACAACAACACCGTCATGTCGTCGCCACGGTGACCACAACAACACAACAACAACACCGTCACGTCGTCGCCACGGTGACCACAACAACAACAACAACACCGTCACGTCGTCGCCACGGTGACCACAACAACAACAACAAAACAACGTCACGTCGTCGTGACGGTGACCACAACAACAACGGGGGTGGGGGTAGTGGGGGGGTGGGGGTAGCGGGGGGTGGGTGGGGGTAGCGGGGGGGGGGGTAGCGGGGGGGGGGGAGGTGGGGGTAGCGGGGGCGGTAGCGGGGGGGGGGGGGGGTAGCGAGGGGGGGAGGGGTAGCGGGGTAAAGGGGGGGGGGGGGGGGGGGTAGCGGGGGATGGGAGTAGGGGAGGGGGGGTAGTGGGGGGGGGTAGCGGGGGTAGCGGGGGGGGGGGGTAGCGGGGTGGGTGGGGGTAGGGGGGCGTCCGTCCGTGCCCCCTGACCTGGGTGGAACACCTTGCCGACGGAGGCGGTGAAGTATGTGTGTGTGCGCAGGTACTGCGGCAGGGTGCTGAAGTTGCCGGCGCTCCGGCGCCAGTAGGAGCCGAAGTCGTAGAGGCGCGTCGTGTCGGGGCGCCGGCTGGTCAGCATGGACGTGCGGCTCGGCCCGCACACCGCTTGCTGTGGGGCGAGGGGAGGGGAGGAGGGGAGGAGGACATCGTGAAAATCAGAATCCGAATTTGTACTGGGAGGAGGAATCCCACAAGTTCTTAGTCACGGATGTCCGGTGGGGCGAGCGCGCTGGCTTGGCACGGATGTGGCCAGTGGAAAAACACTCCCCACCCGTACCGTGCCAGGATCTAGCGCTAGCTTGGCACGGATGTGGCCAGTGGGAAAACCCCTCCACCCGTACCGTGCCAGGACCTCGCGCCGACTGGCGCGGATGTGGCAGTGGGAAAAAACTCCCCACCAATACCGTGCCAGGATCTAGTGCTAGCTTGGCACGGATGTGGCAGTGGGAAAACACTCCCCACCCGTACCGTGCCAATGACCTTGCACTAGCTTGGCACGGATGTGGCAGTGGAAAAACACTCCCCACCCGTACCATGCCAGGACCTCGCGCTGGCTTGGCACGGATGTGGCAGTGGAAAAACACTCCCCACCCGTACCGTGCCAGGATCTAGCGCTGGCTTGGCACGGATGTGGCAGTGGGAAAAAAAACTCCACACCCGTACCGTGCCAGGACCTCGGGCTACCTTGGCACGGATGTGGCAGTGGAAAAACACTCGCCACCCGTACCGTGCCAGGACCTCGCGCTACCTTGCCACGGATGTGGCCAGCGGGTAAAAGAGAAACTCCCCACCAGTACCGTGCCAGGACCTCGGGCTGCCTTGGCACGGATGTGGCAGTGGAAAAACACTCCCCACCCGTACCGTGCCAGGACCTCGCGCTGCCTTGCCACGGATGTGGCCAGTGGGTCAAAAAGAGTAAACTCCCCAGCCGTACCTGTGCCAGGATCTAGCGTTAGCTTGGCACGGATGTGGCAGTGGAACAAAAACTCCCCACTCGTACCGTTCCAGGATCTAGCGCTAGCTTGGCACGGATGTGGCAGTGGAAAAACACTCCCCACCCGTACCGTGCCAGGACCTCGCGCTGCCTTGCCACGGATGTGGCCAGTGGGTCAAAAATAAACTCCCCACCAGTACCGTGCCAGGACCTCGGGCTACCTTGGCACGGATGTGGCAGTGGGAAAAACACTCCCCACCCGTACCGTGCCAGGACCTCGCGCTGCCTTGCCACGGATGTGGCCAGTGGGTCAAAAAGAGAAACTCCCCACCAATACCATGCCAGGACCTCGCGCTGCCTTGCCACGGATGTGGCCAGCGGGTAAAAGAGTAAACTCCCCAGCCGTACCTGTGCCAGGATCTAGCGCTAGCTTGGCACGGATGTGGCAGTGGAAAAAAACTCCCCACCAATACCGTGCCAGGACCTCGGGCTACCTTGGCACGGATGTGGCAGTGGAAAAACACTCCCCACCCGTACCGTGCCAGGACCTCTCGCTGCCTTGCCACGGATGTGGCAGTCGAACAAAAAGAGTAAACTCCCCAGCCGTACCTGTGCCAGGATCTAGCGCTAGCTTGGCACGGATGTGGCAGTGGAACAAAAAGAGTAAACTCCCCAGCCGTACCTGTGCCAGGATCTAGCGTTAGCTTGGCACGGATGTGGCAGTGGAACAAAAAGAGTAAACTCCCCAGCCGTACCTGTGCCAGGATCTAGCGCTAGCTTGGCACGGATGTGGCAGTGGAACAAAAAGAGTAAACTCCCCAGCCGTACCTGTGCCAGGATCTAGCGTTAGCTTGGCACGGATGTGGCCAGTGGGAAAACCCCTCCACCCGTACCGTGCCAGGACCTAGCGCTACCTTGCCACGGATGTGGCCAGTGGGTCAAAAAGAGTAAACTCCCCAGCCGTACCTGTGTCAGGATCTAGCGTTAGCTTGGCACGGATGTGGCCAGTGGGAAAACCCCTCCACCCGTACCGTGCCAGGACCTAGCGCTACCTTGCCACGGATGTGGCCAGTGGGTCAAAAAGAGTAAACTCCCCAGCCGTACCTGTGCCAGGACCTCTCGCTGCCTTGCCACGGATGTGGCCAGTGGGTCAAAAAGAGTAAACTCCCCAGCCGTACCTGTGCCAGCATCTAGCGCTAGCTTGGCACGGATGTGGCCAGTGGGTCAAAAAGAGTAAACTCCCCAGCCGTACCTGTGCCAGGATCTAGCGCTGGCTTGGCACGGATGTGGCAGTGGGAAAAAAGAGTAAACTCCCCAGCCGTACCTGTGCCAGGACCTCGGGCTGCCTTGCCACGGATGTGGCCAGTGGGTCAAAAAGAGTAAACTCCCCAGCCGTACCTGTGCCAGGATCTAGCGTTAGCTTGGCACGGATGTGGCAGTGGAACAAAAAGAGTAAACTCCCCAGCCGTACCTGTGCGAAGGTGGCGTTGAAGAGCACGCTCCTGGAAGCCAGCTGGTCGATGTTGGGGGTCTTGACGACGGGGTCTCCGTAGCAACCCAGGGTGGTCCTCAGGTCGTCCACCACGATCAGGAGGAGGTTGAGACGCTCTGAGTCAGCCAGCCAGGCAGGGAGGGAGGGAGGCACGGGCACGTGGGGACGCGGCACTGCTGATGAGGAGGGGATGACGACGATGACGGCGGTGACGATGGTGACGATTATGCTGGTTACACTGATGCTCATGATGATGGTACGGTGATGGCGTTGACGACGATGGTGTTGACGACGATGATGTTACTGATGATGCTGCTGTTGTTACTGCTGATGATGATGCTGCTGTTATTACTGCCGATGATGATGCTGCTGTTGTTACTGCTGATGATGATGCTGCTGCTGATGATGCTGCTGTTGTTACTGCTGCTGATGATGATGCTGTTGTTACTGCTGATGATTATGCTGTTGTTACTGCTGATGACGATGATGCTGCTGTTGTTGCTGCTGCTGATGATGCTGCTGTTGTTGCTGCTGCTGATGATGATGCTGATGATGATGCTGATGTTGTTACTGATGATGATGATGCTGATGTTGTTACTGCTGCTGATGATGCTGCTGTTGTTACTGCTGCTGATGATGCTGCTGTTGTTACTGCTGCTGATGATGCTGCTGTTGTTACTGCTGCTGATGATGTTGCTGTTGTTACTGCTGATGATGCTGCTGTTACTGCTGACGATGATGCTGTTGTTACTGCTGATGATGCTGCTGTTGTTACTGCTGCTGATGATGCTGCTATTGTTACTGCTGATGATGATGCTGCTGATGATGCTGCTGTTGTTACTGCTGCTGATGATGATGCTGTTGTTACTGCTGATGATGATGCTGTTGTTACTGCTGATGACGATGATGTTGTTACTGATGATGACGATGATGTTGTTACTGATGATGACGATGATGTTGTTACTGATGATGACGATGATCTTGTTACTGATGATGACGATGATCTTGTTACTGGTGATGATGATGATGTTGTTACTGCTGCTGATGATGCTGCTGTTGTTACTGCTGATGATGATGCTGCTGTTGTTACTGCTGATGATGCTTCTGTTGTTACTGCTGATGATGTTGCTGTTGTTATTACTGCTGATGATGATGCTGCTATTGTTACTGCTGATGATGATGCTGCTGATGATGCTGCTGTTGTTACTGCTGCTGATGATGCTGTTGTTACTGCTGATGATGATGCTGTTGTTACTGCTGATGACGATGATGTTGTTACTGATGATGACGATGATGTTGTTACTGATGATGATGTTGCTGTTATTACTGCTGCTGATGATGTTGCTATTGTTACTGCTGATGATGATGCTGCTGTTGTTAATGCTGATGATGCTGCTGTTGTTACTGCTGATGATGATGCTGTTGTTATTACTGCTGATGATGATGCTGCTGTTGTTACTGCTGATGATGATGCTGCTGCTGATGCTGCTGTTGTTGTTACTGCTGCTGCTGATGATGCTGTTGTTACTGCTGATGATGATGCTGTTGTTACTGCTGATGATGATGCTTCTGTTGTTACTGCTGATGATGTTGCTTCTGTTGTTACTGCTGCTGATGATGATGCTGCTGTTGTTACTGCTGCTGATGATGATGCTGCTGTTGTTACTGCTGATGACGATGATGCTGCTGTTGTTGCTGCTGCTGATGATGCTGCTGTTGTTGCTGCTGATGATGATGCTGATGTTGTTACTGATGATGATGATGCTGATGTTGTTACTGCTGCTGATGTTACTGCTGATGATGATGCTGCTGTTGTTACTGCTGATGATGATGCTGCTGTTGTTACTGCTGATGATGATGCTTCTGTTGTTACTGCTGATGATGATGCTTCTGTTGTTACTGCTGATGATGTTGCTGTTGTTACTGCTGCTGATGATGATGCTGTTGTTACTGCTGATGATGCTGCTGTTACTGCTGACGATGATGCTGTTGTTACTGCTGATGATGATGCTGCTGTTGTTACTGCTGATGATGCTTCTGTTGTTACTGCTGATGATGTTGCTGTTGTTACTGCTGCTGATGATGCTGCTATTGTTACTGCTGATGATGATGCTGCTGATGATGCTGCTGTTGTTACTGCTGCTGATGATGCTGTTGTTACTGCTGATGATGATGCTGTTGTTACTGCTGATGACGATGATGTTGTTACTGATGATGACGATGATGTTGTTACTGATGATGATGATGCTGCTGTTGTTACTGCTGATGATGCTGCTGTTGTTACTGCTGATGATGCTGCTGTTGTTACTGCTGATGATGATGCTGCTGTTGTTACTGCTGCTGATGCTTCTGTTGTTACTGCTGATGATGTTGCTGTTGTTACTGCTGCTGATGATGTTGCTATTGTTACTGCTGATGATGATGCTGCTGTTGTTAATGCTGATGATGATGTTGCTGCTGTTACTACTGATGATGATGTTGCTGCTGCTGTTACTGCTGATGATGATGATGTTGCAGCTGCTGTTGCTGCTGTTACTGCTGCTGTCACTGCTGATGATGATGCTGCTGTTGTTACTGCTACTGATGATGATGTTGCTACTGATGATGATTTTGTTGCTGCTGATGATGTTGTTACTGCTGATGATGCTGTTGTTGTTACTGCTGCTGCTGATGATGATGATGATTTTTCCACACACGGGAGAACACCGCGCCCCGCATCCCTCGCGGGACGCGGGCCGTGCCGAGCAAGGAAAAGCGTAAAAAGCCTTGGGCCTCGTAGGCCCTCACTCACTGTCACGAGGCTCCGCGGCGTCTCCGAGTGCCCGGCAGCCCAAATGAAGCCAAACGAGCGGCGCCACGAACAGCGCCGCTTTAGCGAAGCTCATCGTTGTTGTTGTTTTTTGTGTCGAAGAGTGTAAACAACTCTCTCTCTCGTGAAGAGGTGTGCGGACGATAGCGGCCTACCGCGAGGATGGACAGGGCCCGATGCTTCCGAGTTAATAATAATAAGAATTGTTATTATCAGTTGTCTTTATTGTTTTTTTTCTTATTCTCCTCGTCGTCGTTATCGCTCCGAGACGTAGAAGAAGATGATGATGATGATGAAGGAGGAGAGGGAGAAAGAACGAGGGAGTTGTCACAGCGGCGGCGGAGAATTCCCCTCAGCAGCGCGTCGCCATTCTTCGCGGCTCCGGTTTCAAAAATTAAAATTTGCCGCCATTTTTAAACCAATCAGAGGGCGGAGTGGGGGGGGGTTGGGGGTGGGGTTTAGGGGGGATGGGGGGTGGGGGGGTTGGGGCGGGGTTGGGGGTGGAGTTTGGGGGGATGGGGGGGTGGGGTTTGGGGGGGGTTGGGGCGGGGTTGGGGGTGGGGTTGGGGGGGTTGGGGGTGGGGTTTGGGGGGATGGGGGTGGGGTTTGGGGGGATGGGGGGCGGGGGTGGGGGGTTGGGGGTGGGGTTTGGGGGGATTGGTGGGGGGGGTTGGGGGTGGGGTTTGTGGGGGATGGGGGGGGGTTGGGCAGTGTTGGGGGGTGGGGTTTGTGGGGGATGGGGGGATGGGAGGGGGGGATTGGCGATGGATGGGGAGGGGGCTATAGGGGGGTGTTGGTGTTGGTGGAGGTGCATCGAGCGGTCATCTCAGCAGTCGACCGACCCACGGCACCCGCTGGGTCTGCCCCGTGACCTCCTTGCCGGACAGCGAGAGCCTTCGACGCGTCACGTGGCCGCCTCAACGTGCACCTGGCCTGGCACAGGGCGAAGCGGTGACGGCTGCCCGTGGCGGTGGCTCGCCAAGGACTCTGCAGGGAATCCTCCACTTACGAACGGAGGGCTGCGTTCGTAAGTCGGTGCGTTTGTAGGTACCAACTTTGATCCCGACTCCATTCCAAGACCACGTTGTACGACGTGGACACTAAACGCGGGCTAAGAAGGCTTTACAAGTTGTAAAATCTTCTGTAGATGCCACTGGTTCTTCACGTTCTGTAGATGTAGTTGCCACTGGTTCTTCAGGTTCTGCAGATGTAGATGCCACTGGTTCTTCACGTTCTGTAGATGGAGATGCCACTGGTTCTTCACGTTCTGCAGATGTAGATGACACTGGTTCTTCACGTTCTACACATGTAGATGCCACTGGTTCTTCACGTTCTGCAGATGTAGATGCCACTGGTTCTTCACGTTCTGCAGATCTAGATGCCACTGGTTCTTCATGTTCTGTAGATTCAGATGCCGCTGGTTCTTCACGTTCTGCAGATGTAGATGCCACTGGTTCTTCACGTTCTGTAGCTGTGTGTGAATGAGAGAGCTGTGTGTGAAGGAGAGAGCTGTGTGTGAAGCAGAGAGCTGTGGGTGAAGGAGAGAGCTGTGGGTGAAGGAGAGAGCTGTGGGTGAAGGAGAGAGCTGTGGGTGAAGGAGAGAGCTGTGAGTGAAGGAGAGAGCTGTGGGTGAAGGAGAGAGCTGTGTGTGAATGAGAGAGCTGTGTGTGAAGGAGAGAGCTGTGTGTGAAGGAGAGATCTGTGAGTGAAGGAGAGAGCTGTGGGTGAAGGAGAGAGCTGTGGGTGAAGGAGAGAGCTGTGTGAAGGAGAGAGCTGTGAGTGAAGGAGAGAGCTGTGTGTGAAGGAGAGAGCTGTGTGTGAAGGAGAGAGCTGTGTGTGAAGGAGAGAGCTGTGAGTGAAGGAGAGAGCTGTGTGTGAAGGAGAGATCTGTGAGTGACAGAGAGAGCTGTGTGTGAAGGAGAGAGCTGTGTGTGAAGGAGAGAGCTGTGTGTGAAGGAGAGAGCTGTGGGTGAAGGAGAGAGCTGTGGGTGAAGGAGAGAGTTGTGGGTGAAGGAGAGAGTTGTGAGTGACAGAGAGAGCTGTGAGTGACAGAGAGAGCTGTGAGTGAAGGAGAGAGCTGTGAGTGAAGGAGAGAGCTGTGTGTGAAGGAGAGATCTGTGAGTGACAGAGAGAGCTGTGTGTGAAGGAGAGAGCTGTGAGTGAAGGAGAGAGCTGTGGGTGAAGGAGAGATCTGTGGGTGACAGAGAGAGCTGTGTGTGAAGGAGAGAGCTGTGGGTGAAGGAGAGAGCTGTGTGTGAAGGAGAGAGCTGTGGGTGAAGGAGAGAGCTGTGGGTGAAGGAGAGAGCTGTGGGTGAAGGAGAGAGCTGTGAGTGACAGAGAGAGCTGTGAGTGAAGGAGAGAGCTGTGAGTGAAGGAGAGAGCTGTGAGTGAAGGAGAGAGCTGTGTGTGAAGGAGAGAGCTGTGAGTGACAGAGAGAGCTGTGTGTGAAGGAGAGAGCTGTGAGTGAAGGAGAGAGCTGTGGGTGAAGGAGAGAGCTGTGAGAGGAGAGAGCTGTGTGTGAAGGAGAGAGCTGTGTGTGAAGGAGAGAGCTGTGTGTGAAGGAGAGAGCTGTGGGTGAAGGAGAGAGCTGTGGGTGAAGGAGAGAGCTGTGGGTGAAGGAGAGAGTTGTGAGTGACAGAGAGAGCTGTGAGTGACAGAGAGAGCTGTGAGTGAAGGAGAGAGCTGTGAGTGAAGGAGAGAGCTGTGTGTGAAGGAGAGATCTGTGAGTGACAGAGAGAGCTGTGTGTGAAGGAGAGAGCTGTGAGTGAAGGAGAGAGCTGTGTGTGAAGGAGAGGGCTGTGTGTGAAGGAGAGAGCTGTGTGTGAAGGAGAGAGCTGTGAGTGAAGGAGAGAGCTGTGTGTGAAGGACAGAGCTGTGGGTGAAGGAGAGAGCTGTGGGTGAAGGAGAGAGTTGTGGGTGAAGGAGAGAGTTGTGAGTGACAGAGAGAGCTGTGTGTGAAGGAGAGAGCTGTGAGTGAAGGAGAGGGCTGTGTGTGAAGGAGAGAGCTGTGTGTGAAGGAGAGAGCTGTGTGTGAAGGAGAGAGCTGTGGGTGAAGGAGAGAGCTGTGAGTGAAGGAGAGAGCTGTGTGTGAAGGAGAGAGCTGTGTGTGAAGGAGAGAGCTGTGAGTGAAGGAGAGAGCTGTGGGTGAAGGAGAGAGCTGTGTGTGAAGGAGAGAGCTGTGAGTGAAGGAGAGAGCTGTGGGTGAAGGAGAGAGCTGTGTGTGAGTGAGTGTGTGTCTCAGGGGAGCGGTGGTGCAGTGGTTAGCACACTGTGTGTGTCTTGGGGGAGCGGTGGTGCAGTGGTTAGCGCACTGTGTGTGTGTCTTGGGGGAGCGGTGGTGCAGTGGTTAGCTCACTATGTGCGTGTCTTGGGGGAGTGGTGGTGCAGTGGTTAGCGCACTGTGTGTCTCTTGCGGGAGCGGTGGTGCAGTGGTTAGCGCACTGTGTGTGTGTCTTGGGGAGCGGTGGTGCAGTAGTTAGCGCACTGTGTGTGTGTCTTGAGGGAGCGGTGGTGCAGTGGTTAGCGCACTGTGTGTGTAGGGAGTGGTGGTGCAGTGGTTAGCGCACTGTGTGTAGGGAGTGGTGGTGCAGTGGTTAGCGCACTGTGTGTGTGTAGGGAGCGGTGGTGCAGTGGTTAGCGCACTGTGTGTGTAGGGAGTGGTGGTGCAGTGGTTAGCGCACTGTGTGTGGGGAGTGGTGGTGCAGTGGTTAGCGCACTGTGTGTGTGTGGGGAGCGGTGGTGCAGTGGTTAGCGCACTGTGTGTATCTTATTGGAGCGGTGGTGCAGTGGTTAGCGCACTGTGTGTGTGTGGGGAGCGGTGGCGCTGCGGTTTTGTCAAAATCGGTGACAATTCTTTGGGCCTCCCCCTAGGGTCGACTCAGCCCTAAAATTACTACCCCGGGGAGACAAAGGCGGCGGGTGTGGTTATGACGTCACGTCCCCATCGTGCCTGTCTCGTGCGGGGATGACGTCACGGCAACGCGACTCTGTGGAACTGAATACGATTGTGACGTCATGTCCACCCATCACATCCCCACCCATGCTGGCCTCGTGTTACCGAATGATGACGTCATGTCCACCACCTCTCGTGTCCTAAAACGATGACGTCATGTCCACTCTACCACCCCTCGCGCTGTCCTCATGTTGCCGAATAATGACGTCATGTCCACCCCCCCAACACCTACTCCCTCGTGTTACCGAATAATGACGTCATATCAACCCCCCCTGACCACTTCTCGTGTTCGTAAATAGTGACGTCATGTCACCCCCCCACTCACAAAGCCACTCCCTCGCGTTACCGAATAATGATGTCAAATCTCCCCCCACCCCACCCCACACGACCCCCCTCCCCTCCCACCCACGTGGACGCGGGCGTGACGTCACGGGGCCGCGATATTTCATCAGAGGCGCGGCGCGAGCGATGGTGGAGGTGAGCGAACGGCGTGGTGAAACATTCACTCGATTTGCCTCCACATTATCAATTATTTTTATTCTTTTTAAACCGCGTCGCCGACGCCGTCGCCGCGAAACCTTTCGATCGGTCGGTGTGTTATTTTTTTTGGTTGAAGGAGAGAGAGAAAAACAAAATATTCGCGATGTTTTATTTAATGCTACCACTTGTTACTACGATTTAAAGGAATAGGGGGCACGTGACCGGCGAGCGAGCGAGAGGGGCGCGGCGGGAAATTAGCGCGGGAAAAGGCGGACCGATTAGTAAAAAAATCGATTATTACTAACAAAATCGATTGATTGGGTTGCGGGAGATATATTTCTGAGGTAAATGCGACCCTTCCGCGTGCGAGGCGTGGACACCGCTCCCCCTCACGAATGAATGAGTTGACAGGGGGCCGGGGTTATGGTGGTGGTGGTGGTGTGTGACGATTTTCTGAAGCGTTACCGGGACTCCTCTGTGCCTTCTCGCTCTCCCCTAGGTCGACTCGGCCTCAAATGGGTACCTTGGGTTGTAGCGCTGTGCGGTATAAACGTCATCACCACCCCCTCTGTGTGTGTGTCACAGTGCCGGTAGCCTTCATAGACACTGCTGCTGCTGCTACTGACAGCACTTGCCCCTACATCGTGTTAGAGGCTACCTGGGGTAGCTTTGTCTGTGTCACAGTGCTGGTAGCCTTCATAGACACTGCTGCTGCTACTGACAGCACTTGCCCCTACATCGTGTTAGAGGCTACCTGGGGTAGCTTTGTCTGTGTCACAGTGCCGGTAGCCTTCATAGACACTGCTGTTACTGACAGCACTTGCCCCTACATCCTGTTAGAGGCTACCTGGGGTAGCTTTGTGTGTCACAGTGCCGGTAGCCTTCATAGACACTGCTGCTACTGACAGCACTTGCCCCTACATCCTGTCGAGGCTACCTGGGGTAGCTTTGTCTGTGTGTGTCACAGTGCCGGTAGCCTTCATAGACACTGCTGCTGCT